CACTATCCCTGAGCTCTTTTTGCTCAAGGCTAGCACTCTACTACTTTGAGCCACAGCTCCACTTTTGGTTTTCTGGTGGTAAATAGGAAATAAGAGTCTCACAAACTTTCCTGCCTTATCTTCGAACCACCATCCTCAGATCTCAGCTTCCTGAGTAGGTAAGATTACAGGTATGAGCCACCAGCAGCTGACTGAGAAATTCTTTATATTACTAATTTTTTTTCTAAGGCTAAAAATGCTAAGCTAAGGACATTTGAAAACCAGTCTAAAGGTAAATAAATATAGCCCCAAACTATCACTGCATTTATTCTAAAATAGGAATTGCCTGGAGTTAATAGTTTCCAAGGACATGTTTTGTATATCTATGCCTGTATACATACATGTAAATGTAGTGTTGTGTATTTATTAGTCTGTTGTACATACTAATTTATTTATATTTATTAGCATTTTATATAATATATGTATTTTTAGTTCCTTTGTGAGGGATGTTTTGTTCAGGGGGGAGATGTCACATAATGATCTAGGAGATATATAACCATGCAATTTGTCTGCATGGTTCTCAATGAAGCACAGGACAAAGGCAAAAGAGGAATTCATTCAGTTAGTTGCCTGCTGTCTCCTTTTCTCCAAGTTTCTACTGAAAGAGAGAGAAAGAGAGAGAGAGACAGACAGACAGAGGCAGAGACAGAGAGAAAGACAGAGAGAGATAGAGAGAACTCTGCAGTGGTATCCTGTTTATTTTCCAGGATTTTTATTCATTGTGTGCATTGATTTACATGTTTTCATGGCACAGCCTAATTATGTGTTTGGAAGCACAACCCTCTTAGAGCAGACGATCCCCTCAGTGAAGAGTAATTCATCTTGGCTAAGTACCTTCAAGGCCCACAGTATTCCCTTTGTACAAAGTTCTCCTAGAGAAAGGGATGCAGGAGGCATGCTAAGAGTAGATGGAGGACTTCAGATTTGGAAGTAGTAACTGCTTATTTGCATTAGGAAATTCCCTGGCTTTGTTAGGTTGGGGCTAATGAAGGTTTTGTATAGAGAGGACAAGGAGAAGGAGAATAGAGCTGAAAACCAGCAATTCTCTATTACCCACTGAAGTACTTTTTCAACTCTTCCTTCTTCTCAAGGAGCAGGCAATGGCCATTTCTTAAGTATATAATAATCAGGACAGGCATTGCTGAGTACTTACTACATGCATATGAAGCTCTTTGTATATACATCTTCCCAAATAGTCATGATGTAGAAACTTAGAGATGACACACCGTAGACAGACAAGCAATTAGAACTTCTTAATCTTTTTTTACTTCCTAGAATGAGCCCAGGAACCATCCATTGGATGGGATGAGAAGGAAGCAAGGAAGAAAAGGGCGAGGTTGCTCACTGGAGGGTGGGACCAGCCTGGGCCTCTGCAGCTTCCCAGGTGCCCTGGGGGCTGAATCTTCAACCTGCTTGACAAGCTCTGGATTAAAAGCATTTGCCAAGTCACACAGGAGTTAGTGACAGAGCAAGGCTTGAAATAGGATTGTTCAGCTGCAGGGACTAATTGCATCTGGCTCCAAGATGCTAGGCAGGATTGGAATGTGTGTATGGCACTAGGTCATAGGCCATAGACCTCTTTATTTTATTTTACTTTATTTTAATAAAAGAAGAGATCTCAGATGTCTGACTTCAGACATCAGCCTGGTGTCCTCTTGCAGCATTTCTAACTATTTCCCAGGTGTCTGTCTTCTCTCTGTGTGTAGATGTCCAGCCCTTTGTCCCAGAGACCTTTCTCAACATGCTTGTGCCCCAGCAGGTAGTCAGACCTGCCCATTGCCACACTGGGTGCTCTTGCTGTGCATTTTCTGCAGAGGGTATGCTGCAGCAGATAGAAAAACAAGCTGAGGCTGTCCTGCGTTTGCTGGAGGAAACTCATTCTCACCCTCAGCAATTTGAGAAACTAGTAAATTATGGTTAAAAACTGTGCTCACCTTCTCTGACCTGGCAGCTGACATCTTTCCTCCAAGGCTGTCAATGGAGCCTGAGATAGCAAAGCTCCGTGAACTTGACAACATTTCTTCTCAGGGCTGCCAGGTGTCAGAAAGACATGGAACTTAGAAGACATTTTCATGATCCAGATTACAAAGGTTTTTGGCCTTGCAAAGTGTGCTCCTCATCCATAGCGTAGAGTGAGGTAAGGCTCAATAAATGTGACGGTTTCCTTGATTCTTGGATGAGTTTTTCAATTTGGAACCGTGACTCACTCTACAGTCCTCTGTACACACCACCATACACTGACTTTGGGGAGAGAGAATGGTTTGGGAAGTAGGCAACTTGATGAAAAGATAGAGAAAAGAGGCAGTAGGAGGAGATGGCAGAGTGGAGACACACTCCAACAACGTTAGAGATCGTGAGCTGCAAGAACCACAAGAAAAGTAAGCTTCACAACTCTCTAGCCTGCCATGGAAAATCAGAGCCACGATTAGTTGACTATTTCAGACCAAATTCACCAGCAAGCTGGAGGCCTTAGGGCTCAGGCACCCTCTGTACATACAGCTGTGTTCTCCTTTTTAGTTCCTCTCCACACCTGGAATACTGGGTTTGGCAATTTATTCAGAGCATTTGGCAATTTCTATCAGACATTTCTCGGTCACATTGGCTGGGTCCAGGTGTTCAAATAACTATAGGTCAAAGTTGCAAAGAAAGACTTAAGAGAAAACGTCTTAGACGAGGGGAAAAAAGCTGGCGAATGGTCTGCTGCAACTTTCCAGACATGCTGAACTTGAACATGCTGACTGCACCTCCTGCACCCATCTTGTGTCTTAAAGTCACTTGCAGACAACACCAAGGGTCTGAATGGCACAGGAGAAGATAGAGCAGACCAAGTTCCCAAGACTGTGAAGCCACAGTGGCTGCTTCCCTCTAGATTTGTTGAACATTATAAGAAATTAAATGATCTCATTTTCTTTCTTAGGGGGTAGGTAGGCAGTCTTGAGCATTAAATTTAGGGCCTTGTACTCATTTAGCTTACTTGCTCACAGTTGGTGCTCTACCACTTGGACCATACCTCCAGTCCAGCATTTTGTTGGTTGATTAGAGATAGAGTTTCACAAACTTTTCTGCTCAGGTTGGCTTCAAATTGTAATCCTCCATGTCTCAGCTTCCTGAGAAACTAAGGTTCTAGCTTTCTGGCTTCCAATGTATTTTTACTGCACCATATTTTATTAGATATCTTTTGCTAACTATTTCTTACAGATAGATAATTTAAAAATGACTATATTGTGCATGAAGCAGAGGATGGATCCTGTGCATATTCGCTGTTGTTTAATCCTTACCCAACTTTTTGAGATTCAGCTTTAAAGGGTTGTGGTAATAATTGCATGCATTTAGGAGCCATTGGGCTTATATTATCTTGCCATTCCATTTTAATACTATTTAAACGAGAACTGGAGAGGGGGCAGGAAATCAAACCTGACACTCTTCTGCTCCTCAAATTCATAGGAGCCTCTTGGGGCTAAGAATGGCCAGATGGCACTGGAATGGTAGCCTGGCTTTCTTTCATCTCCACCCAATGAAATCAGAGAAAGTTCATAAGCCATCCATCTTGCCTCCGCCCTCAGCCTCTCCACAATACTGTAGATGAGAACTAGGAAGAAGAAATGATTTCCTTTATCTGGTTTATATGCTGGGCATTTTATGGAAGCATAAATGGGGCTGGGTGTGGGCATGAGGTCTGGCTGTGGCCTGTTGAGCTATTAAAGAGTTGATGGGTCCCTGTGGACAAGGAGAAAGGCCCCAGCCCAGCTGCTTCCTCTGATAAGTTGCCCCCATTTGGGAGGGCTGTGGGCAGACCTGTTAGGGCCAGCTTGGAAAGTGACTGTGCTTTTAGAGCTTGTCAAATGGGAGAGAAAGTAAGCTCTCTCTGAGTCAGATTTGCTCCATGCTTTGAACCGGTTTGCAAAGCAGGGGGTAGGGGATAAGGACATCGTGGCCAAGAAAAACCTCCCAGGATTCTGCTGACATAAGAAGTTTTATTTTAATTTTGTTTCCTTTGTGTGATTATGGCTGCAGTAGAAGACAGGTCTTAAGCCGGGCGCTGGTGGCTCATGTCTGTAATCCTAGCTACTCAGGAGGCTGAGATCTGAGGATCACAGTTCAAAGCCAGCCTAGGCAAGAAAGTCCGTGAGACTCTTTATCTCCAATGAACCACCAGAAAACTGGAAGTGGCGCAGTCACTCAAGTGGTAGAGCACTAGCCTTGAGCTGAAGAGCTGAGGGACAGTGCCCAGGCCCAGAGTTCAAGCCCTACAACTGACCAAAAAAAAAAAAAAAAAAAGACAGCTCCTGCAATCCAACCTTTTTCATTTCTTTCTCCTTCTTTCTTTCCTTCCTTCCTTTTTCTTTCTTTCCTTTCCTTTCTTTCTTTCTAATCCTTAGGCTCTACCCTCCTCCAGTTGAAGTAAAATTTTTGGGAGTGGACCATGGGCATCAGTATTTTTAAAAATCAGGCACAGAATTAGAAGATATTTAGAAGCAAGTATTAAAAGAAATTGAAAGGAAGGCTGGGAAGGTGGCTCAGTGGTAGAGTGCTTGCCTTGCATGCCTGAGGCCCTGGGTTTGATTCCTCAGCACCACATAAGCAAAAAAAGCTGGAAGTGGCGCTGTGGCTCAAGTGGTAGAGCGCTAGCCTTGAGCTGAAGAGCTGAGGGACAGTGCCCAGGCCTAGAGTTCAAGCCTCACGACTGACGACAAAATAAATAAATAAATAAAAATAAAATTACAGCCATTAGAACACAACAGGGAATGAGAAACTGGGAGACACCTATATCTGTATTCAGAGACCAAAGAAAGAAGAAACTATTACAACTGAGTCACAGCCTAACTCTGATCTCCCTGGCAGCCAAGGCCAAAAGGGAGCACAATCAAATCCTTCATGAAATTGATTCATCACATATTCCTTTAGATGAGAAAGCAGAGCAGACCTCCCTTCCCCCAGGACCTCCGCACCCTGACCCTCACCTGACAGGATAGAGGCCACGGCGGCGATGATGAAGGACACGATGACGCCAGGCCCGGCCATCTCCTTGGCCACCAAGCCAGACACCACGTACATGCCGGTGCCCACGCAGCTGCCAACGCCAAGCGAGATGAGGTCCACAGTGGTGAGCACCTGGGCCAGCTTGGTGCCGTGGGCTGAGGTGGCCCCGGTCCCCTCCAGCATGGACTCCACCGGCTTGGTGCGCAGGATCCTGGAGTGCATGGCGTACCAGGCCGCCCCCCACTGCACCCGCCGGGGGTCCAGAGAGGCCAGGAAGCTGCTCATGATGAGTGATGGGGTTGCAGCGAAGGTCAGCTGATCAGAGAGTGCCGGAGGAAGGCTCAGTGGATGCTTCTGGAACTCATGGATGAAGAAGGGGGCTTTCTGTCTAGGAAAGGTCCACAGGGACCTCCGACAGCCCTCTTCTGGGCATGAAGGTCTGCAGGAAAAACACAGGGGAGGAGAAGGTGAGTGCATGCTTGAAGGTGACCACCACCTTGCCCTAACAGGTCTGGTGTATCCATGGGGACTTCCACCTGCTCCTCGGTGTCCCCTGCAGTCCCGATGACAGCTGAAGCATGCGCTGTGTGGATTTGTCATTCTCAAGAGAGGGCTGAGTCAGGGCTGTGGTGCTTACTGTTTTAGGACCTTCCTGGGGTAAGCGCCTTCAGTTCTTTGGCTTTCATCTGAACTCTCCGAGGAGTACCAACGTCTTCCCTCTAGTGCAGAGGTGAAGACTGGATCCGTGGGTGTCCCCCCAGAGCCTGAGACAATGTCCCACACAGAGACAGGACTCCTTTGTCTCAACTCTTAAGTATGTCTTACTTGGATTTACCAAGGCATTGTGATTTTTGGGTTTATTCTCTGGAGATGAAATCCCATTTTATTTTGTTTTAACATAAGGATGGAACAATTGGGCTATATTTCTCAGGAGGAAATATATGCCATCAGAGGGGTTGGTTTTGAACTTGACTTTTGGTCAAAACAAAAGATGTTTATTTACTTATGATTGTTATTTTTTTAATTTACAAATGGTTGTGCAAGAGGGTTACAATGAACATGTCCATTGTGTGTTCAATGTCTGTTATGTCTCCACCCTTCTCCCACTTCCTCCACCAATCACACCAAGTTTCCCACTTCCTTTTCCACCTATGTGCATTGAGTATGATGATTGTATTGGTCCACTTTCCTTTCCCATTCATCATCCTCTCTCATGCAAAGTACATCTCAGAATCATTCTGTTGAACTGCTAAGACTTCCAAGGTATACACCATGGGGTTCTTCCCATGCATACACTATACTTTAGTATATGCATGTGCCCTTGTGTGTGTTTACCTGGGAGGTTGTATTTGGGGTCTATGGTTCACATATGAGTGAAAACATGTCCCCTTTGACTTTCTGGGCTTGACTTACTTCACTCAGTATGACCTTTTTCACCTCCACCTGTTTTTCTGCAAATGACATTATTTCATTTCTGCTGACTGACTAAAGTTCCATTGCATAGAACTAGGTAATTTGAGGGGTTGGGAGGGATGGGTGGGGTTGGGAGAGAGAGGGAGAATGATGGAAAGGGAGACATTGATTAATATGCATTGTATGTATAAAATAACCCTTTTGTACAACTACTTTAAGGTAATAATAAATTTAGACATTTCATTGTATACACACGTGTGTGTGTGTGTGTGTGTGTGTGTGTGTGTGTGCGTGTGACATTTTCTTGATCCATTTCTCTGCTGGAAGGCCTCTGCAATGTTCTATAGCTTGGCTATAATGGATTAAGCGGCAATGAGTGTGAGCCTGCAGGTGTGGGGTGTTGTTTCTTGCTGTCAGAGATGAAGGCTGTGAGGAGTGGTTCTGACACTGGGGCTGAAATGGTAAAGGCATAGGACAGTGTCACCCATCTTTCAATATCTTGCTTATCTTTCCTGTAGTGATTATCTGAACTTAGAACTTAGCTTTCACATGCATATACACCGAGAATATTTCTGATGGTCTTAATATAAATGTACAATAAACTTTCCGGGAGAACCACTGTGGAATAAATCAAAGAAAGGTTGGGATTTGTTTAGTTTAGAATTTAAGTGGAGCTGTCCATCATTTCAGGAAGCCAAAGCCCACGGGGAAATGCCATGGTATTACATTGCCTAGGCAGTGCCCCTGCCCTGCCTGCCATTCCAGACTGGCAGGTTTACAGTGGTTCTTTATGTACTGCAAGCATCAGACAATGTCATCTGGCTGGGCCTGGGCATTCACATATGGAAATATTTTGACTATGGGCAGGTTATCCCTGAATTTCACTTCAGGGAAGTGAAAGCATGGAAAAAATGTTTAAGATGGCATGTTGGGTATGATAAGAGTTGAGAACTATGACATTAGGTGATTCCCTTCCTTCCTTCCTTCCTTCCTTCCTTCCTTCCTTCCTTCCTCCCTTCCTCCCTCCCTCCCTCCCTCCCTTCCTCCCTCCCTCCCTCCCTCCCTCCCTCCCTTCCTTCCTACCTCCCTTCCTTCCTTCCTTCCTTCCTTCCTTCCTTCCTTCCTTCCTTCCTTCCTTCCTTCCTTCCTCCCTCCCTCCTCCCTCCTTCCTCCCCTCTCTCCCTCCCTCCCTCCCTCCCTTCCTTCTTCCTCTCAATCTCTCTCTCTCACACACTCTCTCTCTCCTCCACCCCCTCTCTCCCTCTCTTTCATGGGTACTAAAACTTGAACTCAGGGCCTCAAGCTCTCTGATTTTTTTGCTGAAGGCTGATCTCTATTATTTTAGCCACACCTTTACTTCTGGCTTTTTGGTGGTCAATTGGAGATAAGAATCTCACCACCTTTTCTATCTGGGTTGACTTTGAACCTTGATTCTCAGATCTCAGCTTCTTAAGTAGCTAGGATTATAGGCATGAGTCACCAATACTTGTCTGTGTTTTATAAAGTTTGAAAAAAAATTTAAAAATTCAAATATTTTATGAATCTACTTTCTTTGGAAGCCAGAGCTTTATAAGATTCTACAAAGAATTTCTGGAAGTATAGTCAAATGTTGATTCCAAGTGTTGTACTGATAAGTGTAGATCATTTACATGAATAATACGTACCTGCTTATGTGATCTCATACCCTTCTCTTCCTGCTAATGAGACAGTGTCTCATTATGTGACCCAGACTGGGTTTCAAACTTGCAATCCTCCAGTCTTGGCCTCTGAGTGCTAGGATTATAGACATGTGCCACCACAGCTGGCTAATGCTAATAATTACTAATATTACTAATTAGCACTACTTAGCACCGAATGTAGCAGTTTTCTGTTTTTTAAGGCATTGCAAAGTCTAACTAATTAGGAGAATCAGGTGAGATGTGGCAGTTTGGTTCACAGGGTTTGGATGACAGCCCTCTGGTTAAACTTCCTTCTATAACCTAGAATACTTGAATTCTTCCTCCTCCTCCTTCTCCGCCTCCTCCTCCTCCTCCTCCGCCTCCTCCTTCTCTTTCTCCTTCTGTTCCCTTTCCTTCTTTCCAGATTGGTAAAGCAATATGACACATGTATACTGAAAAAGCTGCTAGAATAGCTACTTTAGTTGCAGTCATGGGGAAATAAATGTAAATACTCATTTCATTTCGATTCATCCAGCGTATATTGAGTGCCTGTTTTGTAGCAAGCATGGTGATTGGCTCTGGGCTCTGTACGTTTGGTTATCAGCCTCCATCATCAGTCCAGCATGGGAGATGCTGCACACCAAAGTCACATAACAAGGGAGAATGTTTGTCTTGGGGTTTGGAGGGTAGGGTGGAACTTACCTTTTTATTATTTTCTTATTATAAAACTTTGGCATGTTTATTTCAGAAAAATAATACAAAATAAATAACAAAAATTAAAAATGAGTAGAGAAAATGTTACTAGCATCAGTCAGCCATTCGTTAATTTATATTCTTTCAGACCCTTTTCTACATGAATATGTGAGCACATCTATTTATACTGAAGTGTTTTTTTATAATATGATCGTAAGCTAGGCACTGATGGCTCATGACTGTAATCCTAGCTACTCAGGAGGCTGATATTTGAGGATCACAGAGACTCTTATCTTCAATTAATCAGCAAGAAGCAGGACATGGAATTGTGGCTCATATGATAGAGCACCAGTCTTGAGCAAAAATCAAAAGCAAACAGATGAGAGTGTAAGGCCCTGAGTTCATGTCTTTGTATTGGCACTAAAGAAATAAATAATAGGATCATATCATTTATTCTGACTTAAAACTTCCTTGTTTTGCTTTATAATGGGTGTGAATATTTCCTCACATCTATAGTTTGGGAAATACTTTTTAAATCATTGAAGAGTCACTTCACTAGTGTTACTAAGAAAATTGGATTGTTGTCTTAGTTTTAGTTTGTTCATTCATTCATTAATTTAAAAAAATGTACAGAATGGCTTTTTTGCAACAGTCTAGCTAGCCTTGGCAGCATTTGTGACAGTAAATCAGGCATCCAATATCTTGCTTACTTGGAGCTGACATTTGGTGTGGTGAAACAAGACCATTCACAGTCTTCCCAGAGAGGGTGAAGGATATCTTACAGGCTGAACTGTGTCTTCTGGAAATTGATATGTTATGTCCTAACCTTGGGTCCTCAGCATTGTACTTTATTTGACACTACAGTCATTACAGATGTAATGACTTGAGTAAGGATGAGGTAATTCATGTTGGACTAGGGTGAGCCTACTGGAGTATGCCTGGCATCCACATACACAGGGAAGATTTGAACACATGTGCACACACACACACAGAGAACACCTGAATATGAAAGCAGAGACCGGAGAGGCTCCACAAGCCAGAGAACACCAAGGATCGATCATTGGGAACAACTAGAGGCTAGAAATGAGGAGCAATTCTTCCTATACTTCATTTCACAGAGCGAACCAATGTGGGGATACTGTGGCCCAGGCTTCAGCCTCTAGAACTGGAATACAACACAATTCTGTCATATCAGCCACCCAGTCTATCATACCTCGTTATGTCAGCCCTAGCTGACCAGCGACAGCTATAGAAACAAGGTGCGAGGGTCTTTGCAGACAGGACATTGGTTCCTGAGCGAGAAGGAGACAGTTGTACCAGGTGTGAGGAAAGAGCGCTCCTGGCAGAGCAGATCCCCTAGGGAAAGGCTTCTTCCTGAGACAGTGTGACTTGTACTTGTACAGGGCCCTGTCAACTCATTCTATCCTCAGAACAAACCTGCCTTTTCAGGGGAGGCAAGGTGCAGTGTGGACACTTATCCGAGGCCAAGCTCTTGAGGGGCTGAGGCAGAACTTGAGCATCTGTTTTTGGGTCTTAGGTCTGTGCTTCTGGCTTTCCTGCTTGAAATACACAGAAGCTGGGACTGCTGAGGCTGGTATGCTAGAATGAGCAGTTTGGATTTGACTCTCAATACAGTGCAGTACTATTAGAGGGCTGCAGTCAGTGAGCAC